TTGTATGTATGTATATACAGGATAGTTAACATAGTTGTTCTACTGTCTTCTATTTCTTTGCTGAAAGAAAACTGTCAATGAGTCCTTGATTGATCAATATTGCATGTCTCTGTTTTCATGAGAAACCACTTTGAAGATATCAGTATGTAATACAACAAGCATTGTTAATTTCTGACCACTTTGTTTGTAACTCTGTATTGTCCGTACCGTTCTTTTGCTATTTTGTAAAAGGTTGTCTGTCTGTTAATGTTTTCCTTTTATTTTTAAAATAAAATAAAAAAAGAAAGTTTTTTTTTTTTTAATTGAAACAAAGTTTATTTGAAAAAGTAAAAGTGAAAAGTGAGGGAAGACACTGGTTCTGCAGAGTTTGGGCTGAGGAAAAGAGGAAAAAGCAAGATAAAAAGCATACCCGGGAGAAGGCAGAGTGAACTAAGGTAAGGACAGCCACGATAGCCTGGAGCATATTTCTTTTATTTTGGCATCAGGAATAGAACTCAGGGCCTCAAGCTTGCCAGGCAGGTGCTGTGCCGCTGAGCTACATCCTGGCATAGCCTGGAAGAATATTTCTAAAGGAATCACTATATCTCTACCACCGCTACAAGGTAAAAACCTACTGGTCCTCCTGTAATGAGAAGCCAAATGTTCAGGCAGATCCTGTACCACCCAAAGGTCAACATCCAGCTCCTGACTTAAGTAAGCGCAATCCTTCTTTGTTCCTGCAGGAGGAGGTCAAACCAAACCACGGCAGGCACCACCCAGGCCAGGAAACAAATCGGCCCTTCCCACTGCTGCTACTCCTGGGTCCAGTGGCCCCATCTCCAGGAATCCTTCTGTAAAGCCTCCAACTTAATGAAAACCTTTCCACACCCCTCTTATGAAATGCACATGTTCTGCCTCTTATTTTGGCTTTTCTTTGACATATTTTAGCTCTTCTATTGCATCACTAGCATACAGAGACAGGGTGGGGGTGTCAGGTTTTGATTCTGAATAGTACCTCTCCAAGCCCAAGAAACACCTGGCATACTTAAAACCAAATAAGTATATGCCAAATGACAGCCAAACATTACATTCTCTCTCTAAAATTGTTCATCTGTTGGTCCCCAGCACTACAAAATAAAATAATTCGTTTAAGATTATCTTCACACCTGACTATGGTTGCACACATCTATACTGCCAGCAATCTGAGAGGGTGAAGCTGGAGGATCACTTAAGCCCAGGAGTTCCAGTCTGAGCAACACAGTAAGACCCTTGTCTCAACAACACTAAAATTTTTCACAGATATGAGATCATGTAGCATTCTTAGTTTCCCTTTAAAAGTTTGTTTTGATTTCTCTTCAAAAACAAAACAAACAAAACAAAAAAAACTGTCGCTGGGTGTGGCGGCGCATGCCTGTAATCCCAGCACTCAAGAAGCTGAGGCAGGAGGACTGCTGTGAGTTCAAAGCCAGCTTGAACTGCACAATGAAACCTTGTCTCAAAAAAGATAAAACAAAAACAAAAAGTCTAAACCAAAAGGTAACAATTCTTAGGAGTCTGCCCTTCAATAGCAGCCCGTCATGCCTTTCTTCTTAGTGATTAAGCTGAGGGGTGCATCTTATCAGGCAGAGGAGCGCTCACCGAAAGCCACGAGGACCCCGATGACCAAAAGGCAAGCCAGAGAGGTCTTTCCCTCCACCAAACAGGAGAGCACTGCTTGTTAGAGAGGCTGGACCCACACTAAGCTGACAACCAGCACATCCGCCGAGGTTAAGCCCGCAGGGACCACACATCGAGCCAACTCTGCGATCCAAAGAACCCACAGTTTAAGACCCTGCGCAGGCCTGGCGTAGTGGTGCACACCTGTAACCCCACCTCTCGGGAAACTGAGGCAGGGGGATTGCCACGAGTCGAGGCCTGCTTGGGCTACATAGTGAGTTTAAGGCCGGCCTGAGCTATATAGAAACACCCTGCGCACACTACAGAAACCTGTAGCTCCCAGAACCCACCCGGTAAACCGCGCCCGAGGTCCGTCCCAGTCCGAGCGGGACCCACCCCCTCCTCGTCCGGACCGGCCCGGACCGCCCAGGGCAGCGCCTCGCCGCATCCCGGGCCAGGATTTTGAGAACAGGGCCAGGCCATTTTTGGGTGCTGGGCCGGGGGTCTTGGGGACAGGATCGAGCCGAAGTCCCAGGGACAGGGCCGGCCCGACCCGAGGGTCCCAAGAATGAGGCCAGGCCGGGGCCTCGGGGAATTTCTGGGACTGGGCTGGGCCGAGTCGAGGGTCTCGGAGGCGGGGCCGGGAAGGGCGGGGGTCTGCGGGTAGGGCTGAGTCGTTGGTCTGGGGCGAGGAGGGCCGGGATGGGGTCTGGGGTAGGCCCGGCGCGCGCCTCACCGTGGTCCTGGTTGAAGCCGGCGTACAGTAGCCCGTTGCCGTGCGGGTTACACGGCAGGAGGTTCATGGCGCCTCCCGGTGTCCGCCGCTTCTCAGAGATGCATGCCGCTTCACGGGGCCGGGGGATTCTCCAGTCGGGCGGCGCAGAGGCCGCCGCAGCCGGAAGCGAGGAGCGTAGGGGCTTGCGTCGTGCGTGCGGACGTGTGCGCATGCGCGCGCGCAGCCAGGGACTCCGTGGGGCGCGGAGTGCGTCCTACCGCGGTGGCGCAAGCCCGGAGTGCCGAGCTCGTCGCGGGCCGGGTGTGCGGGCGCGCGGCAGAAGCGCAACGGCGCCATCTTCCGGCCGCGGTGGGAGGGAGGTGGGCCAGGATTGCTGCAGGACCAGATCCACGCGGGCCTCGTGGATCTCCGCGACTCACGCCCCCCCCCAGATCCCTACAGGATGCACACTCCCCTCCCTCACACCACACGTGTCCGCCCGCTTCACCCTCACTCCGGCACATAGACACCCCACACACACACACAGCCCCCACGTACAGAGTCCTCACACACAAGCCCGTCATCCGCGCTAGACATACAGTCCCTCCCTCGAGGTACACCTTCCCCTAAACACAGTTTTTAATACAGTCCCGTGTCCCCATGGGCACACAGCCCCGCAGGTCACGGCTCTCCTCCACTCAGGCACAGGCTGCTGGAATGACCTGGTCATAAGAGATTTGACCCAGGCCCTGTTCAGACGGTGGATGGCCTTGAGGGACAGGAAGCTGGCCTTTGTGTCTCCTGTCCAGCGAATCCACTCCCCATCCTCACAGTCTCCTCTTGCTCCCCCTTTCCCACTGTCCCACTCCTGATCTCCTTGGAGGTCTTGGCATAGCGCCCCCAACCTCTGACCTTTCACTCGTGTGTGGGCATCTTGTCCCTAGGTTTCTCTTGATGTTAAACTTTGTGGCCTCCAAAAGTTTGTATCTCATTCAGAGTCGAGCTGTGGCTGTGGCGGAAGGGTTAGCGAGGGCATTTGTGTACCACATCAGCGAGGCAGCTGGTGGTGGCTCAAAAGATACATCCACCTGGAATGATATTGGGAAAGTAGAGGAAAAGAAAAAAAACAATATTCAGCTCTCCAGTTCTAGACTGAGGCAAGAGACAGCAGTTGGCAGGAACCAGCCTTTTTTGAGAGAAAAGAGATGTGTAAGAATGCCAGAACTACGTAAAGGGGTTGTGGATCCACAGGTTCCCTAAGGCAGGAGCAGCTCAAGAGCCAAACCCCAACCCTGAAGGAGGAATGGGGGGAGGGGACCTCACATGGGGGCGGGGGCGCTCAGCCTCTGCCCAGTGAGCCTCAACCCTTACCAGGGAAGGGGACAGCACGGGACAGCACTTCCAAGTGACTCGGGAGAGTCACTTGCCTACATTAAGTTGCGGGAGCGGTCCCCTGGTTCCCAGCTGTCAGCCAGCATCCACCAGCTGCCCAGCAGAATGTGAGCACACCAGTGATTTGCCATTCCAAGACTGCTCAGCCTCCTAACACTTTTTTTGGCCAATACTCTTCTGTAATTGGGTGTTGAGAAGCACCCGCAAGAACAGGTACAGGTGGGGAGCAAACGGTGGGGCCAGGTCTCTGCTGTGGTCCTAATAGCTGAGACAGAGGAGAAAGCCCAATGCTACCTACCCAGTACCTTTATTTTTCTTTCTTCTGCCTTTGACACCTGTGACTGCCCTAAATCCCTCAAGGCTATTTAGAAACTTTTGTTTTGCCTGCAGCAAGTTTTGGTCCTGAGTCCAGTGCAGATAACTCTACACCAAGCCTCTCTGGCTGGCTCCACCCACCTTTAGCTGCTTTAGGCTTTAGATGTCCCCATTCTCTTCCCTGTGACTAAGCAGAAAGTCTGGATTTGGTTGGTAGGACGTTGTGCTTATGCATAAGGCTGCTTTTATTTTATTTCATTTATTTATTTTTTGGTCTCTATAAGCAGTCTTACCGTTACCCTATTGGAAGAGTTCATGGACTGCTTCCCTGTATGTTGCACATAAAACCTAACAAAGCCTCATTTGGTGTGGAGAAGGACATTCTTTAGTTTATCTTTCAATGTATTACCTATTTGAGACTTTGGGCCTGACCAAGCCATATGATTATTTGATTTTGGAGGAAGTCTAGCAAAAGCATTAGTGTAAAAGGAAATGATAGCAGGACCTTAGTCCCTGTGGAAAGCCACTGGGACAACACTAGATGCTTTGCTGAGATATGCCCAAAGGAATCATGACATGATGGCTAACTAAGTCAAAGTCTTATTCCTGTGATAATTAAGTTATATTGTCCTCACTAATGTTAATTATTCCTCCCATTTGCCCTGCTGATGTTTTTGTTAGTATCCCAATAAAAGGTTACAGAAAATTGTAATCAAGGCTTCAGTCTGAGAGGCTGCAAGCCCTCTGATCCCATAACTGTCTCTCTCTTGTTTTTCTTTTCACCTGTGGGCACCTCGTTCTCGGGACCTGTCACCCCAGACAGAAACTGACTATACACTGACAATTTGGTAGTTTTATTTTCCTTGTTCATGATTTCTATCTTGAGTAAAGCAGTATGAGCTGGTTGCGCTGAGCTGGTAACACTAAAGGCTGCTAGCACTGACAGTGGCCAGCTGGGGCTGTGTGATCATTAATCATTATGTCACCTTGAATGGATTAAGAAACACACAGCAGATTAGGGGAGCACAGTTCTGGGTGTGTCTGTGGATGACCGACATGTAGGCCAGTAAACTGTGGTGGGATGACCTGCCCACTGTGAGTGGCATCAACCAACATGCTTATAGCCTGGATGGAATAAAAAGGGAAAGAAGGAGCTCCAGCTTTCCTGAGCAGATACACCCTTTTCTGCTGTCACCTTTGTTGGTTGGCTTCCAGGTCTCCAGTTTCTTCAGTCTTTGACACAGGCTCATACTGGTGTCCCTCCAGTAAGTGTCCAGGCCTTCAACCTCAGACCCATGCTGCATCCTTGCTTCCTCTTATTGTGCAGCTTTCATCTGCTTGGGCTAAGCAGGCCTGGCTCTTCTATGTGTGGACAGACATTGTGGATCCTCACACCTCTAGAAGATAGGCCCCGCAAGCCTACCTAATAAATCCTCTTGCATAATTAGACATACATTTTCTTTTTTTAAAATATGAAAATGTATTACTAATGTCTTCTCTCAAAATTTATGATCTTGGGGGCTGGGTATTTAGCTGAGTGGCACAGTGCCTGCCTGGCAAGCGTGAGGTCGTGAGTTCGATTCCCGGTAGCGGAAAAAAACAAACAAAACAAACAAACAAACAAAAAACAAGAAAAAACAAAATTTATGATCTTGGTCTTTCTTGCTGTTGTAGAGAGCCAGAAGAGAGACACTGGCTACTTTAACAATCTTCAAGCAAACTCCAGGCATGTCACCATAGAATGACCTCTGACCACATCCAGCAACCAGAGCTTTATTTTCCTCAATAAAGTTCAAGCTTCCATCATTAGGGAGAAAAGCTGTGCTTTTCTTGCTGTTCTTGATCCACTAGACCCTGACACACTTTCTGATGACAGAATTCGGCTGTTTGGCTTCCACGCTTACTTTTTCTAGCACAATTCCCTTTTGGAGGTGCTTGCATGTGAAGTACCTCCAAAAGGGTTGCCCATTTGGGCACAGCTGCTATCTTCAGCTACCAGAAGAGCAGCAAGAAGGGCAGCTAACACTAATTGTTGAGAGCTGCCGGCATTCAAACCTCAGAGCTGCTACTGCTAAAGGACCTGCACTTTGCCTATTTGTGATTTCTATCTGAATAAGTGAAAGAATCCTTTGTAGATTGGTATAAGAACCCTCGTGAATAGGATCAATGACTTTATTTTTTTTTTTAAAGTATGCGGACTCTGTCTCCCTCCTTTGCTTTTCTATCCCTTCTCCCAGAGCAGACACAGCTTTAAGGCACCATCCTGGAATCAGAGTTGACCTCACCAGATGCCAACTCTCGGGTCACTTTGCTCTTGGACTTGCCAGACTGCAGAACAAATTCCTATTCCTTATAAATTACTGTCTCTGATATTTTGTTACAGAGGCTTATGTGGACTCAGGGGTTTCTACCGCCCTCCCTGCCCTCTGATCTGGGACAGAATCCCACCCCAAGATGACTGTGACATCCTTCTCACCCTCTAACCTTGCCTAAGTGAAAGACTTATTTTAGTTCCCCCAATTCAGGAAGCTTCATTCCTGCCTCTCAAATCCATATTTCTCTTGATGAAACTATTCTTCAGCATAGAGAAACCCCAGTATCTCTGTCTCTTTGCAAAAACAAATATTATCAAGCCTGTAACTGACATTTTTTTCAAGATTTCATATTTTGTCTAAGTAATTCCTCATCAAAGTTATAAGTGCTCTACCTTAGAAATTTCTCTAATGGCAACAATTCTTATGGGGCAATTGAAAACATAATCATGCATAATATATTTTGAATCTCAAGTTTTGAGGAAAGGTTTGTGGATATCTGGGAATAAAGTGGCTCATGTTCCTATTTGGGAGGGATTTTGCCAGCTGTGAGAGCCAGGGAATAGAATGACAAATGACGAAGATTTCTCTAGGGTTTGACTTGCATTTCAATTACATTTTCTGTATATTCACCACCAAAACATGGAAGCTTCTAAATATGGACATCTATTCCCCAATCATGCCCAGGTGGTGGGGCATCCCCACTCCAGGCCATTGTGGCCAGGGCCTGCCGTGTTCCATGCTGTACAGTGAGCATGCTGCTCTGGGGTGGGGCCCTGTTATGATTTGGATCTGAAATGGCCCCCAGAGTCTCATGTGTGGAGGTGACTGGATCACAGGGGCACTATACGCATCAGTGGACTTACCCACTGCTGAGCTCAGTAGCAGAATGTGCTGGGAGGAGGTAGGGCCTGCTTGGAGGTTACTCATTAAGCCTGTGACCTGAAAGGGTATGTTCTTGTCCCTGCCTCTGTTCCTGCCTGCTTTGTGCTTCCTGGGTGCCCTGGGCTACACAGCTCGCCTCTCCTCATCAGGCCCTTCTGCCACGCCCTTTCTGCCTTGGAGCCAGCAGACCATAGTCTAAAACCATAAGCCTCCTTTTGGCTGTGGGTGTCAGGTATTTTGTCCCATACTCATGAAAGTGACTGATACAGGGCTCTTAAATTGCTAAGAGCCAATTGCTAAGAGACTGCAAGGTCTCTTAGGGATGACTTGTAA